GTTTGAAAGACAGTTGACTATGCAACCAGTGGTGTATTAACCATTAAGAGCCGAGGTGGCGCAGTGGTTAGAGTGCAGTACTGCAGCCACTTCAGCTGACTGCTAACTGCAGTTGGGCGGTTCAAATCTCACCGGCTCAGGGTTGACTCAGTCTTCCATCCTTCCGAGGTGGGTGAAATAAGGACCCGGATTGTTGGGGGCAATATGCTGACTCTGTAAACCACTTAGAGAGGGCTGAAAGCCCTATGAAGCGGTATATAAGTCTAACTGCTCTTGCTATTGCTAGGAGGCTTTCACCAGGGAGGAGAGAGGAGGCGTGGGTGGAAGGACCTCCCTGGGAATGCCTCCCTTGATCTCGTTTTTCCTTTTGGGTCATGAAGTTCCATGTCAAACACAGGGAAAACTTTTCCTCCCTCCCTCTCCAACTTCAACACATTCCTTTTTTTCTTTACTCTCTCTGCTCCATCAGGTGCCCCGAGAAGTTTCTCAGCTCGGATCCTCGGCATGGTCTGGGCTGGTTTCGCCATGATTATCGTGGCCTCTTACACTGCCAACCTGGCTGCTTTCCTGGTGTTGGACAGGCCGGAGGAACGAATCACGGGCATCAACGATCCTCGGGTAACGAGAACGGCAAACTGCCCCCAAACAGACCCCCAGCTCGGCAGGTGGCCCACCTGTGGCTCAGGAGAGGCCACTCAAATATTTCAGTGCATAGAACCGAAAAGGGGTTCCAGGAAAAGTGGGTGTGTTTCTAACTATTATCACTATAAGAGGAACAAAAAGCAAGAATGGTCAGTGAGGAAGGCTCCAGGAGGAAGACCCCCCAATAAGGCCGTGGTTCAGATTTGACGGAGGGTAAAGCGAGGAGGGTGAGGAGGGGGGGAAGCCAAGAAGGTAAAAATCTTCTTGTTCTTGTTTCCCAGTTGCGAAACCCTTCGGATAAGTTCATCTACGCCACCGTGAAGCAGAGCTCGGTAGACATTTATTTCCGGAGGCAGGTGGAGCTAAGCACTATGTATCGGCACATGGAGAAGCACAATTACGAAAGTGCTGCCGAAGCCATCCAAGCTGTTCGGGACAAGTAAGTGTTTGCCTAGAGCGGCCCTGTCTCTCCCGCGGCCTCTCTCCTCTCGGGTCTCTTTCCCGGAGTCGACGATGGGTCCGCGTAGTTCTCAGAGTCATAGAGTAGGAAAAGAGCTCCAGCCACTCCCCGGCTGAAGGAAGCAGCCCAAGCACGGAGGCTCTCTCTGCAGCCAGCTTAAGCTCACCGCTGCTTTGGGGGTCACCTGACCGCAGGAGAGGCAGCGGCCGCAGTAGGTTCCTCACCCAGAAACGAGAAAGCAGGCGGTTCCCTCTTCTGACCAGTGGACCCAGAGGGCGACTGGCTGAGTTTCCCTGTGAGGCAGCCCGGTTCCTTCGTCGTGCCTCCTTTCAACCTCTTCCCCGTTTACTTCACGGGCCTCCTTCCATCCCCACCACAGCAAGCTCCACGCCTTCATCTGGGACTCGGCTGTGCTAGAGTTTGAAGCCTCGCAGAAGTGTGACCTGGTGACCACAGGAGAGCTCTTCTTCCGTTCCGGCTTCGGCATCGGCATGCGCAAAGACAGTCCATGGAAGCAGAATGTCTCCCTGGCCATCCTGAAGTCTGTACTCTGTCGGGAGGGAGGGAGGGAGGGCAGGGGAGGAGGG